ATTGGTAACCAGAGAGAGAGAGAGAGAGAGAGAATCTCCAGGCCCTGGCTATGTCCATGGGCTATCATGGGGCCTCTGCCCACCTCTACCTTGTTTCCATTTAGGCAACTTCTTTGCATTTGGAAATCCTTCTCTTCCAGGAGAGTATTTGTTTTTTTCAGTGCTGGGGAGCCCAGGACTTCGGCATGCCAGGTTAGGGCTCATCCCCCGAGCCACACCCCCAGCCCTTCCAGGACTCCTTTTTGTTTTTGCCAATTGTGGGGCTTGAACTCAGGGCCTGGGCACTGTTCCTGACTTTGTACTCAAGGCTAGTGCTCTGCTACTTGAGCCAAAGTGCCACTTCAAAGACTTTCATGGACTTTCCTTCTGGGGCTGGCTTTAAATCATGATCCTCACATCTCAGCTTCCTGTGTAGCTAGGATTACAGGTGTGAGCCGCTGGTACCCAGCCTTCCAGAAGAACTTTTTCTTTTTAATTGTATTTTTGTTGTTGTCAATACCGGGGATTGAACCCAGGATGTTGTACTTGCTAGGCAAGCCCCAGAAGGACTTTTAAAAAGGCACCAGGAAGCTGGGCCTGGTGGTATACACTTGTCACTCCACCTGCTGGGAAGGCAGAGAGACTGGAGGCTCTCTATCTGAGGCCAACTCAGATAAGAGCATGGACACTCTGCCTTAATGCGGCTAAAGGGCCACCTGGTTGGAAAGTATTTGAGATCTTTTCCCCATTGGCACTGGCGCTTGCTGAGACTGACTGCATGTCCCCTGGACTCTGGGATGTGTCTTATTACCATCTCAGGACCTTAACTGTTTCCTTGTTAATGGTCCCCCTCCAGCCAGCAGCAGACATGGCCAAAGCTCCACCCACAGCGTGTCTGTGGTGACACAGGACCCTTTCTTTCACAAAGCAAGCTTTTCAGGTCGCAGATTCTATCAGCACTGCATTCTTCTTCATGGCTGCATTATAGCCTGTCATGTGCTTATACCACAGTTATTTAGCCTTTCCTCCCTGGAAATGGCACCAACTTTATAAAATAGATTTTATGCTGGTTGCTGGTGGCTTATATCTGCAATCCTAGCAACTCAGCCCAGGCAGAAAACTCTATGAGATTCTTATTTCCAGTTAGCTAGAAAAGAGCCAGAAGTGGAGCTGTGGCTCAAGTGATAGAGAGCCCGCCTTGAGCAAAAAAGCTAAAGATAGCCAGGTGTTTGTGGCTCACGCCTGTAATCCTAGCTACTCAGAAGCTGAGATCTGAGGATCACAGTTCAAAGACAATGGTAAAATGCTTGCCCCGCATGCATGAAGCCCTGGGTTCAATTCCTTAGCACCACATAAACAGAGAAAGCTGGAAGTGGCGCTGTGGCTCAAGAGCTGAGGGACAGCACACAAGACCCAGAGTTCAAGCTCCATGACCGGAGAGAAATAAAAAACCAGGTGAGATTGAGAGGCCCTAGGTTCAAGCCCCAGTACTGGAACAACCACAACAAAAACCCAGCATGGAATCCATACAGTCTTGCTTTTAGGCCATTGCTACGGCAGGGCCTGGGAACTGTCTTTGAGCTTTTTTGTGCTTCATTTGTCACTATTTTTTGTTTGCTTTGTCAGTTGTGGCTTGAACTCTGGGTCTGGAAGCTGTCCCTCAGCTCTTCAGCTCATGGCTAGCACTCTACCACTTGAGCCACAGTGCCACTTTCGGCCTTTTCTGCTTATGTGGTGCTGAAGAATCAAATCCAGGGCCTCATGCATGCAAAGCAAGCATCTACCACTGAGCCACCTTCTCAGCCAGCCCCTTGTCACTCTTATTACAGAATAACATGTTTTTTTTTGTCAGTGGTAGGGCTTGAACTCAGAGCCTGGGCGCTGTCCCTGAGCATTTTTTGCTCAAGGTGAGCACTCTACCACTTTGAGCCATAGTGCCACTTCCCATTTTGTGGTGGTTAATTGGAGATAAGAGTCTCATGGACTTTCCTGCCCAAGCTGGCTTTGAACTGTGATCCTCAGATGTCAGCCTTCTGAGTAGCTAGGATGACAGGCGTGAGTCAATGGCACCCAGCTAATATGCTATTTTGTGCATACTCACAGTCTTTTTATTGTTGTTGATGCTATTTGTTTCCAGTTTGGAATTGTTTTTTTCTTTTGTTTTGTTTTTTCCAGTCATGGTGCCTGAACTCTGGGCCTGGGCACTGTCCCTCAGCTCTTCAGCTCAAGGCTAGTGCTCTACCACTTGAGCCAAGCGCCACTTCCAGCTTTTTCTGCTTATGTGGTGCTGAGGAATCGAACCCAAGGCAAGCACTCTACCACTGAGCCACCTTCCCACCCCCCAGTTTGGAATTTTTATTTTTTTTGGTCCGGTCGTGAGGACTGAACTCTGGGCCTGGGTGCTGTCCCTCAGCTCTTCAGCTCAAGGCTAGCACTCTACCACTTGAGCCACAGCGCCACCTCCGGCTTTTTTCTTTTTGCTTATGTGGTGCTGAGGAATCGAACTCAGGGCCTCATGCATGCAAGGCAAGCGCTCTACCATTGAGCCACCTTCCCAGCCCTGGAATTTTTTTTTTTTTTGTCGGTCGTTCTGGGCGCTGTCCCTCAGCTCTTCAGCTCAAGGTGAGCGCTCTACCACTTAAGCTATAGTGCCACTTCTGGTTTTCTGGTGGTTTATTGGAGATAGGAGTCTCACGGTCTCTCCTGCCTGGGCTGGCTTTGAACCGCGATCCTCAGATCTCAGCCTCCTGAGTAGCTAGGATTACAGGCGTGAGCCACCAGCGCCTGGGGCCCTGGAATATTTTTTAAAAAGTGTATCTAGGCTGTTCACAATCACTAGGATATGGAAACAACCCAGATGTCCCTCCACAGATGAATGGATCCAAAAATTAGGGTATCTATACACAATTGAATATTATGCAGCCATTAGAAAGGACAAAATAATGGCATTTACAGGGAAATGGACGGAGCTAGAAGAAATCCTGTTGAGCGAGGTAAGCCAGGAGCAAAGAGACAAACGGCACATGGTCTCCCTGATAAGTGGATGTTAAATCCAAAACATTAGGTGATACGACAAAATTAGTAGCAAGGCTTAAGAAACAAAGAACTTCCACTGATCTGGTCGAATCACTACTAAATAACTCCATGCTACTGATCACATGTATGGTGTATATGTGCACACTGGAGGGGAACCAGGAGGAGGACACAGAACTAGAGGGAATCAGGGAAAAACATACAACAGCGGGACCCATCAGCTGCACTGAACATTGATCAAAATGATCTAAGCATCTCAATGGCAGTGATGGGAAGGAGGGAACAGCTGAAGCTATACAAAACAAAAGAAATGTACATATCACCCAATGGGGAAGAAATAACTGTATTGTCAAAGCTCATAAACTCATAAATGTTATGGACCATGATAGACATTTGCCCCATGAAAGTTAGAATGTGTGACTTCAACTAAGCATTACTATCTACAATACTGTGAAATTTGGGAAATTATGCAATTACTTAATCACAATAAAGAATTTGGAGAAAAAAAAGTGCAGCTAGGAACCTCTCTGCTTTTTTCTTTTCTCTTTTTCTGTTTCTAGTACCAGGGTTTGAACTCATGGCCTCAAGCTCACTCAGCTTGCTTGATCTACTGGCACTCTACTACTTGAGCCATGCGTCCAGCGCTTTGCTGGTTCTTTTGGAGATGGACTATCCTGCCCTTTCAGCGTTTGCCTCCGTTTCCAGCTCTGTTAGAAGAGGTTCTTCTCAGGCACAAGGGCCCGGGTGTGGGCTGCAGGAGTTTGCTTACCCAGGGCTTGGCCTGTGGCTATAAATGGTAGCATGGCTCCAGGGCAGCTTAGACAGGAAAGACTTCAGTGGCGTGGGCAAGCTGGCCTCTGAGAGACAGAGGGATTGGTGATGCCCAACCAGTTAGGGACAGAGCAAGGATTAGAGCCAGACCCCCTGAGGCTTAGCCAGCCCTCCTCCTCAAACCCCAGGGTCTCAGGCGGCTGCTGGTAATCCTCCTCTATCCACCTTGCCAGTGCTGACGCTTGCTCTCAGCAGGACAGGGCCAAGGCCCAAAGCTGCCAAGCCCCGCTGGCATCATTCTGCCTGGCAGAACATGGGGAAGCAGGTTTGGAGGATTAGAAACTCCTGAGTACAACATCAGACGCCACCAGGTAACGCTGACTGCTCCAACGGTCTCACATTCCCCTGGCTCATCAGCCTGTGGACCACTGGCCCTGTGGATGGGATGCTGGGATTCCTCCCCATGGTAAGTGCCTTTGAAGGCAGAGGGAGGGATGGCCTCTAAGAACTGGTGAGTGTCACAGGACAGACTAGGTGCCCACATGACACATCTGATGAGCCAGGAGTGGAGCACGGGGTGTCCCGTGGGCTCTCCCTGCCTGTGCCTTGCTGTCTCCCCCCCCCCCCCCCCCCCCCCCCCCCCCCCCCCAAACCGGTCCCATCCCCCATCTGGCCTGATTCAGGCTGAGGCCCTCTGAGTAAATCTGGAGACTCCTGCAGAGTCTGCGGAAGCCGCTGCCAGCCCCACCGTCTGACGCAACACAGAAGTGGAAGATCCCTGTGGGCAGGTCAGACAAGTGGCGTGAGCGGTGGTGCGGGGAGCGAGGGCCTGGGCACCCCTGGATGCGTGGAGGCTTAGGTGCTTGCCACGCCTTGTCCCCTCGGGCAGTGGTATGGGGGATCTCCAGCCTTGCTCACCCCACACTGCTGTCTCCTGAGGCTCAGATGCCCCCAGACAGCAATGGAACTAGAATCTCTTCTCTGGCTGTTGTCTCTTGGGGAGACGGCATCCACGTCTGTGGTTCCTGGACGCTGCTGTGGAGACCAGGTCTTAGACAAGGGGCCCGTTACTTTGGGGGGCAGGTGATCAGCCCAGAAGAGACCAGATGTGCTGTCTCCCTGGAGATGAGGCCAGACCCCCTCCTCTCACTCTCCTGACAGATCGGTCCTGAGGTCCTTCCGAAGCTGGGGTGCCCAGGGAGGTACCAACAACCGGAATGAATGCATTGAGCATCTGCCCCCTGAAACCTGAGGCCTTGTGCCTGCCACCTGGGGCTGCAGAGTCCCCGGGCTGCCAGCGGCGCCACACACTCCCTGCCAGCGAGTTTCGCTGCCTGACCCCCGATGATGCCGTCAGCGTGTTTGAGATTGAGCGGGAAGGTGAGCAGCCCTGTGGGATGGGATAGGGAAGCGTGTCCCAAGCTGTCCTGTCTTCCCAGGTCTTTTATCCTTGAGGGCTTGGTCCCAGAAGATCAGACCATGTATGTGTTCCAAAAGGTGGGATAGCTGGGTGCTGGTGGCTCACGCCTGTCATCCTAGCTACTTGGGAGGCTGGGATCTGAGGATCCCAGTTCAAGGCCAGCCTGAGCAGGAAAGTCCGTGAGACTTCTTTTTTTTGTCAGTCGTGGGGCTTGAACTCTGGGCCTGGGCGCTGTCCCTCAGCTCTTCAGCTCAAGGCTAGCGCTCTACCACTTGAGCTACAGCGCCACTTCCGGTTTTCTGGTGGTTTATTGGAGATAGGAGTCTCACGGTCTCTCCTGCCCGGGCTGGCTTTGAACTGCGATCCTCAGATCTCAGCCTCCTGAGTAGCTAGGATTACAGGCGTGAGCCACCGGCGCCCGGCTTCTGTGAGACTCTTATCTGAAATTAATCACAGAAAAAAGCTGGAAGTGTACTGTGGCTCAGATGGTAGAGTGCCAGCCTTGAGCAAAAGCAGCTCAGGGACAGCGTCCAGCCAGTGGCCAGCGACAGTCGCCCTGCCCCCTGTGCTCACCCCTTCACAGCCTTCATCTCTGTCTCGGGCGCCTGTCCCCTGCGCCTGGATGAGGTCCGGCACTTCCTCACCCTGTGTCCAGACCTGTCCCTGGGCTGGTTCCAGGAGGGCCGCCTCGTAGCCTTCATCATTGGCTCCCTTTGGGACCAGGAGAGACTCACGCAGGTGAGGGCGGGGCGGGGCTGTGACTCCCAGCGCCTGGCCAGACAGAGGGTGCGGCACGAGATAAGACCTAGGCCACGGGTCCCCCCCAGAGCAAGAGAGCCTAGCCCAGCCCCTTGCGGTCTGGAAAGCCTTCTGAGGCTTTCTCCAAAAAGCTGGGGGTGCTGGGCGCCGGTGGCTCACGCCTGTCATCCTAGCTACTCAGGAGGCTGAGATCTGAGGATCCTGGTTTAAAGCCAGCCCCAGCAGGAAAGTCCACAAGACTTTTATCTCCAATTAACTATCAGAAAACTGGAAGTGGCGCTGTGGCTCAAGTGGTAGAGCGCTCGCCTTGAGCTGATGAGCTGCGGGACAGCGCCCAGGCCCAGAGTTCAAGCCCCACAACCAAAAACAAACAATCCCCCCCCCAAAAAAAACAAGCTGGGGGTATAGCTCCCAGCTTATGGCCTTCCTTGGGTGGAAGAGAGACCTGACTGCTGGCACTCAGGGCCTGCACGCCCAGCCTGGGCAGGGCGGTGTGCTGGGGAGAGGCAGGTGTCAGAGCAGGTGATCCGGACACCTCTCCTCTGTGGCCCGCAGGAGTCCCTGACGCTGCACCGCCCCGGGGGCCGCACGGCCCACCTGCACGTGCTGGCGGTGCAGCGCGCCTGCCGGCAGCAGGGCAAGGGCTCCGTCCTGCTGTGGAGGTACCTGCAGCACCTGGGCAGCCAGCCGGCCGTGCACCGGGCGGTGCTCATGTGCGAGGACAAGCTGGTACCCTTCTACCAGAAGTTCGGCTTTGAGCGCGTGGGCCGGTGCGCCGTGGCCGTGGGCCCCCTCACCTTCACGGAGCTCCAGTGCTCGCTGCGGGGCCATGCCTCCAAGCGCAGGAACAGCGGCTGCTGACCGGGCTGCGTGCCTGGCTGTGGAAGCCCATCCCCCTCCTCCTGATGAGTTTCCCCCACCCCTCCCCTCCCCACCCTTGGGCCCTGACATCAGGGAGAAGCAGGAGCAGGATGGGGGACAGTCCAGGGGCTGTGCCATGGTGGCAACTCCAGGGCAGAAGGGTGACTTCCCCTCCCACGCGGGCCCCCCGGCCTCCCTTCCCTCCTGGCCACCCCAGCAGCCCCCACCCTGGCTCTCCAGCCCACAGCAATACAGCAATTATATCCTCAGTCCCTCTGTGGTGGCTTGCTAGCGTGTTGTAGTTTGTGAAGACACAGACACAGGAATGGACGTGCTGGGGGGGACCCCCTGGGAGAGGCCCTCCCTCACCTCCCTGGAGCACTGGTACAGCATTTGGGGTGGAGGACCCCATGGGCCTAAAGATGCAACCTAAGTCGGGTGCCAGTGGCTCACGCCTGTCATCCTAGCTACTCAGGAGGCTAAGATCTGAGGATTGCAGTTCAAAGCCAGCCCAGGCAGGAAAGTCCAGGAGACTCTTATCTCCAACGAACCACCAGAAAACTCGAAGTGGCGCTGTGGCTCAAGTGGTAGAGCGCTCGCCTTGAGCTAAAGAGTTCAGGGACAGCACCCAAGGTGCAGAGTTCAAGCCCCATGATCAACAAAAATAGAAAAAGGAAAAAAAGATGCCACCTAGCCCTCTCAGAGACCCCCATGGAGGTCCTCAAGGTTTCTCCAAAAAGCTTTCCACCATCTTTGAACTCCTTACCACGGCCCTCGTGCCCAAAGCTCCAGATCTCAGACTACGGATTTCCGTGAAGAATCTCTTTTAATACACTTCTCACATCATCCGTACAAAGTTAGCGTTGCCTTTTCAAAATTAGGACCGTGATGTAAGCCGGTTTTTTAAAGTGAGTGAGAGAACACCAGCCCTGCCTGAGACCCCCCCAGCCAGCCCCCAGCGAGCAGGTCCTGGAACTGCTCGGGGTGAGAGAAGTGACGGGGTCGCCACCCGGGAGCCGAAGGCGGGGCCGGAGCCAGGGCTGAGGGGCGGCCGCTAACACAAAGGCTCCCAGCATCCTTGTCCAGTCGTGTCCTCTTGCCTGTTCGTTGCCACCAGCCTGTGGCCAAAGCCTCTCCACAGTGGCCAGTCCAGGAGATATAAGACAGTGTGGAAGTTCTGTGAGCCCGGGGGACCCCGCTGCGGGGGTCCAGTGGAGGAGCAGCTGTGTGCACAGCGCGATCACACAGTGAAGGCGCGAGCAGCCGGGGCCCGGGGAAGGCTTTCTTACTCTGCCCTAGGCATTCCTTACTGCGAGGAGGTAGGCAGGCTTGGGACTGGAGCTTCAGGAAAGCAATGTCCTGGGGGTCCTGATCCTGTCCTTCCTGATCGTCTCACCCGGTCGGCCTTGCCTGGCAGAAAGGGCCTGAGGTCTTGCCCGTGAGCCTCTGGTGCGCGGGGCAGACGGCACAGCGGGCATCGTCCCTGGCCTGGCCAGGTCAGGGGGCGTCAGTGTAGCACCTGGTCCAGCTCGTACTTCTCGCAGAAGCGGCTGATAAAGGGAAAGCAGGTGAGGTATTCGATCCAGGGCCAGTTGATGGGGTAGATGTAGAGCCAGAGGACCAGGGAGGCGAAGAGGCCGGCGAAGACCAGCAGCGACACCAGGATGAGGGCTCGCTTGCGGTACTTGTCGCTGGTCCCAAAGGTGATGTAGGGCAGGAAGGCGAAGGCCAACAGCATGCCACTGAGGAAGCCAAAGATGTGGGCGATGTTGTCGATCCAGGGCAGGAGGCCGCACACAAAGAGGAAGAGCAGGATGGCCGAAAGGTTGAAGAAGGCTTTCCAGGGCCGCTCCAGCAGCTGCCAGCTCTGAAAGAGCTCCACAAAGAGGCAGGCAAGGAGGCCGAACTGCGAGCCGGCCGGGCCCACCTGGAGCGGTGAAGGGAGATGCGTTAGCTCCGAGTACCAGTCAAGAAACAGCCTCAGAGCCGGCGGCTCATGCCTGTAATCAGGAGGCTGGGATCTGAGGCTCGCAGTTCAAAGCCCAGGCCCAGGGATCAAGCCCCACAATTGTGTAAGACCCAGATAGATACAGCACCACAAACAAGCCCACTCCCCAGTGGGTGGCACCCAGTGGGGAGGGGACAGACCACAAGTGACAAGAGGCTGACAGATCAGAGGCTGCCACGTCTGCAGGCCCAGGATACCCATGCCTGGCACTTTTATAAGGCTCGATCTACGGGCACTTGATAGGCAAGCGGGCAGACTCAGGAACAGGGAAAGGCCAGTGCTCTGGGAAATCTCTGGAAGTGACACTTGAGGAGGGCGTGGTGTGGAATCACACGATTCAAGAGGATCACGGTCCCCTCTGGTTGGGGATTAAGGGACTGGGCAATAAGCCCCCAGCTTAGCGGTCCATCTGCCACTGTGCAGGCCCGGGAGGGACCCTGGTGGACCTGGGCTGCTGGGGTAGGAAGCAGCAGCCCTCCCGAGAGGCTTCAAAGCTTTAGGCTCAAGAGGAGGACACCCTCACCCCCCTCCACAACTTGTCCCCCAAGTCCCCACCTCTGCCCGGTATGGGAGGAAGATGGCACTGGCGAGGTTGCCGGTGATGCCGCTGAGGATGAAGATGATGGCGATCCGGTGCCAGCCGGCCAGCTTCTCCAGGTCTCTCAGGATGGTCATTTGGAAGACCACAGACACGAGGCAGTGCACCACGCTGGGGGCGAGAGGGGCGTGAGCCGCGCGGAGCTGCCCTGGGCCTCTCGCCAGGCAGGAGCAGTGTGGGTGGCAGATTGGACTGGCTGTGCCCTGGGGTCCAGGGAGGGGCAGAGAGGAGCCTCTTACCCAGCATGCAGGAACAGAGACAGCCAGAGCCTGTAGAACTGATCGGGGACCTCTGGGTTGAGGAAGGGAAGCAGCCCACACACCTTATCCAAGCAGTGCACCTGAGGGGTGGGTGGGGGATGGCCGTCAGTGCTGCCGAGGAAGCAGGCCAGGTCAGAAGCACCCCGATATGGGAAGGAAGGGGCAGCCCCGGCCCTGACAGAGGAGGTGCCCGGCCTCCTCAGCCCTTATTCCCAGCCCACACCTGGGAACAGAGAGTCGCGTCTTCGTGGAAATAGCCATGCATGAAGTCACAGTACTCCCTAGTGGTGATCTCGCAGCTGGGGACAGAGAGGGGGGGGCTCAGGGTCCTGGGGAGCCCTCACTCACCCAGGTGGGAGCCCAGAACTTGGCTGAAGCCTGGGAACAAGCTCCCCTCCCCTGCTGGCAGCGTGGGCAGCCCCAGAGCAGGGGAGGGTCTGGCCCTTCCTCGGAAGTGGCGGGCAGGGCTGCCGGCTCACCTGCCCTTGGTGCCTATGCAGCAGGGGCGGCCTTTGATCTCGCAGTCTATGTGCAGAATGCCCGTGAGGTTGCTCCCGGCCTCCTCTGTGCAGATCTGAGAGGGGGCAGAAGTGGGGACAGCTCGAGTGATGAGGCCCCCCCCCATAACCACCCTCTGCCTGGGGACCCTCGCACAGAGCATGCTCACTCACCGGCCACTTGGTGATGTCATCGGGCCAGATGTGGGCGCCACTGGAGGCTGGCTCCTCACAGGTCCTGGGGGGCAGAGGTTGGATTGGGCACGTGGGGCAGGGGCCCCCCAGATGGCCACGCCAGCTAATGGAACCCCGGCAGGCAGCTCCGCGGCCAGGCTGGGGGCCACTCCAGGCCCTCGGGTGGCTCTAGGCCGTACCTGGGGTCCTGGTGGCACACAGCCCCGGACGTCCGCTTCTGGCCCAGATTGGACTTGTCCATGGGGGGGCCCGTATCATCCTGCCACTTGACAAAAGTGGCGAGCGTTTCCTGGAGGGCAGAGGAGTCCGGTCATGCCAGGCAAGGGCACCCCGCTGGCGCAGGTCCGAGGACTCTCTAGGAGAGGGCCTTGGGCCTGCCCTGGGCGGTTGGAAGGCAGTGGCCATTTGGCAACAGTGCTGTGCTGGCCTGGTGCCTGCGGGAGGGGCAGGGGCGGGGAGGAGGGGACAGGCCACTGCCCTCAGAGGGCCCCTCCCCCCAGGCAGGGCTGGCAGGGAGGGGGTGGAGGGGGGCTGCCCCACCGAGCAGTCCTTCCTCTGGGTCTGGATGCAGCCCGAGTGGTCATTCTGGACGCAGCAGCCCGAGTCTCGCTCCAGCTCCCGCTCGCGCTGCACCAGCTGCTCGATTTGCTGGTCCTTCCGGATGCAGGGTGAGAACTTGGCTCCCAGGTGGATCAGGTCGAGCTGTGGGTGAGGATGGGCTGGTGAGCCAGAGCCCCAGATTTGGGGGGGGGCGAGGGGGAAGGGTCCTGATGAAGAGACACTGTGGGGAGAGCTGGAGGGGGGAGGGGCGGGGAACAGGGCCCCCGGGCTCCCCCCTCCCCCCTCCCACGACATCCCCTGGACTGGCCCTCACCGAGCTGGGCCCGACCCAGAAGTTCTCCTGCTGGATGTACTTGACGCTCTCGTAAAAGCCTTTGCTTCTCAGCACCTGCGGCGGAGGGAGTGGAGGGAGGGACTGCTGAGCCCCACGCATGAGCAGATGGGGATGGGGCAGGGTGCCCAGGACAGAGCCTCCGGGAAAGAGCCAAGCTGTGGTCCTGGGCATCTCCTGTGTAGGCTGGTGTGTGTGGAGGGGGCGGATTTGGGGGAGCCTGGGACCGCGGGGAGCCCAACTCACCAGCTGGGTGGTGACGTGCTGGGCAAAGCCCACAGGCGCGATGCCGTAGGTGCAGATGACCAGCAGGGTGATGATAACGTGGACGAAGGTCAGCCAGTAGGTGAAGTAGGGCCTGTGGGCAGAAGCAGAGGCCTTGGGTCTAGAGGCTGCCATTAAGACTTCACTTAGCAACATGTGTTCTGCTTCTACTCATCCCAACTCACCCTGGGACTGCAGGTATGTGTGACTATGCCCAGCCCCAGACCCACTTATTTATTTTTTTATTTTTTGTGGTCTTGGGACTTGAACTCTGGGCCTGGGCGCTGTCCTTCAGCTCTTCAGCTCAAGGTGAGTGCTCTACCACTTGTGCCACAGTGCCACTTCCAGTTTTCGGAGTGGTTTATTGGAGTTAAGAGTCTCACAGACTTTCCTGCCCAGGCTAGCTTTGAACTGTGATCCTCAGAACCCAGCCTCCTGAGTAGCTAGGATTACAGGCGTGAAACCAGCACCCAGCTCACTTCTTTTATTTATTTTTTGGAGGGTCCAGTCATGGGGCCTGAACTCTGGGCCTGGGCGCTGTCCCTGAGCTCTTCAGCTCAAGGCTAGTGCTCTACCACTTGAGCCACAGCACCACTTCCGGCTTTTTTTTTCCTGCTTATGTGGTGCTGAGGGATCTAACCCAGGGCCTCATGCGTGCAAGGCAAGCGCTCTACCACTGAGCCACCTTCCCAGCCCCTATTTTTTATTTTTGTAGGTACTGAGGTTTGAACTTGGGCTTCATGCTTACCAGGAACGTGTTCTACCACTTGAGCCATGCCTCCGGCCTCTCTTGCTTTGTTACTTTTCTAGGGTCTCACTGTTTGCCCAGGTCACGCCTAGACTTATGACCCTACTTATCCTTCTGGGTACCAGATGTGTACCACCATATTCAGCTTTCTTATTGAGGTGGGGGAGGGAGGTTTCTTGAACTTTCCTCTGGTTGGCCTTGAACCATAATCCCCCCAATATCAGCTTGCCAACATGCTTCCCCTAGTGTCTCTCTCCTGGCTTAAGAACTCCACTGCCCCTTTGGGGTAAAATCCAGAATCACCCTGCTGCTGGCCGCAAAGCCTGGCTAGTTCCACCCCACCTGCCTTGTGGCCCTTCTTGCTGTTTTTGGAACAAGATACATTCCTGCAGGCCCAGGGCCTTTGCCTGTGACATTTCCATTGCCTGGGAGCCTCTCCCCCTCCCTCTTCACCCACCACCCACCTCATCCTGTTCAGCACCCTTCCTCACCAGCTGTTCCCCCCACCCTGTCTTCCTCCGGCATGAGCGCTGCACCTGCCAGTGCTCATTCTGGAACTCCTCCAGTGTCTCCTCAGTCACAGTTCAAAAATAAATAAATGAATTATATAAATACATATAAATATAAATAAATATAAATATATATCCATATATAAATAAATACATATTATTTATTTATTTATTTTAAGCTGGGTGCTGGTGGCTCACGCCTGTAATCCTAGCTACTCAGGAGACTGAGATCTGAGGATCACATGGTTCAAAGCCAGCCCAGGCAGGAAAAGTCCATGAAACTCTTATCTCCAATAAACCACTAGAAAACCGGAAGTGGTGCTGTGGCTCAAGTGGTAGAGCGCTCACCTTGAGCTGAAGAGAGCAGGAACAGCACCCAGGCCCAGAGTTCAAACCCCACACCCACAAAAAAAGTGTGCTTATTCTGAGGCTTGAACTCAAGGCCTGGGTGGTATCCCTGAGGTTCTTTGCTCAAGGCTAGCATTCTACTACTTGAGCCACAGCGCCACTTTTTCTCTCTCTTTTGCTCTTTCTTTCTTTCTCCCTTTTTTTTTTTGGTGGTCAATTGGAAGTTAAGAGTCTCGTAGATTTTCTTCCCCAGCTGGCTTCAAGCTGGAATCCTCAAATTGGAGCCTCCTGAGTAATAAGGGCCACAGCGTCTCAGCGCCCCCCGCCCCCGGCTCCCTTCTCTTGGGGCTCTGTGCCAGGGCCTGTGTGTGGTGGTGCTCAGTGAATGCTGGCTGTCTGCCATTGGAACCATCTGGATGGAGAAGAGGCCGCCGGCCCCTGTGGGTCCTTCCCCACGGGTACCCCCACCATCCCCGGGCACAGGGTGCCTCCAAACTTGGACTCACAGGAGACACTCACAAATGCGAGTGGGGGAGAGCAGGGGCTGGGGGCCCAGGGGCACCTTGGCCGGTCCCAGCTGCCCGGGGCTCACCGGTGGCTGTCGAAGCTCTCCAGCTGCCGCTGCACGGTGCTGCTGATGCTGCGGCGATAGCTGCGGTTCAGCCAGTTGCCCACCACGCCCAGGCCGTAGTGCCGCTTCTTCCGGTCAAAGGCGAAGTGCCTCACTTTGGAGGCGATGCGTGTGCCCCGCCGGGCCGTGGGGGCTGCAGCTCGGGCCCCGTCCTTCCTGCCCAGGGAGGGTGGTAGATCTTAGCCCTATGACCCCCCCGCCCCCCAGGCGGGTACACAGCACAGCAGGGGCAAGGCCGGCCCAAAGCCCACGCTCACAGCGCGATCTGCATTCCCACGGGGGACACTGGGGAGGCCGAGCGTGGGATCCCGCGGAAGTAGCTGGCAGAGAGTGGAGGGGACTCAAACACATCATCCGGCATGGAGCTCATTTCTTCCTAGGGTGGGGGACCCAAAAACACAGTGTGAGGCCAGGCTGGCTGCTGGTGGCTCGGGCCTGCCATTCTAGCTACTCAGGAGGCTGCGATCTGAGGATCCATGTGAAGCCAGCCTGGGCAGGTAAGTCTGCAAGGCTCTTATCTCCAATAATCCACCCAGAAAAAGCCAGAAGTGGAGCTGTGTGGCTCAAAAGTAGTAGAGCACTAGCTTTGAGCAAAAGGATCTCAGGGACAGCGCTCAGGCCCTGAGTTCAAGTCCCAGAACAAGCACAAAGACACCCCATCCCACCAATGGCCAGGGGTCTCTGGATATTTCAGGGGCCCCAGGCCTCGCTGCCCTGTCCCCAGGGCCCACACCCCATGCTTGCCTTACTAAAAAAGGAGGAGTCGAAGGTGTCCGCCCCGTCGACAGCGTCCTCCTCCAGGAAGCTGGGGTAGGCGAAGCTGCGTTTGACCACCCGGCTCCGCTGTCCGGCGGCATCCAGCACCGAGCGCCCCTGGGTGTGGGGGAAGAGACACAGGCATCAGGGCCAGGACCCAGCACCCAACACTGCAGCCCCGCCCTGGGGAAGGCAGCTCCTGGTGGGCAGGAGGGACCCTGCTTGGGTATCTGAGAGGCACGCACGCACTTCTGGGGAGCGGAGGGCAAGACGCAAGCGGTTGCACTTGGTCTCGGACTCCCTCCACGTACGGGGTCACCTCCCTGACTTGAGTAGATGGCACTCCCAACATGCCAAGTAACCCACATTCCATGCAAGGCTTGGCAGCTTCCCCTCCTTTCTGCCCCTTGCCCACCTGTCTGCCCCTATTTTCCACACCCTTCCTCCCATACACTCCTTAACAAAGCCTCGAACAGCTGCCTCTTCAAGATGCCCTGCTGCTCTTCTGGGCCTTCGCATAGGCTGTTCCTCCCCCCGCCCCCCCATGGAGCATGCTGTTCCTTGCACTCCTGCCTACAGAGCATTTCCTTATTATTCTCTTGGCATCAGCTAAATGCCGGTTCCCTCTGGGTGGACACCACCAGCCTGCGCAGCCTAGGCTCTGGGCTTTGGTGTCCACTCCCTGCCCAGGGTCCCAGCACACCGCTGCCCCGGCTCACAGGCACGTGGGTGAGCTCTGGGAGGGGAGTGGTCTCACCCTGAGGAGGGCGGCGGCGGCCTGAAAGCTCATGTGGGCCACGGACATCCTCTTGCGGCGGGGCAGGTGGGAGCAGCCCGAGCGGACGCTGGTGAAGGAGGTGAGGGACAGGACCCCCGGGGTGAGCGGCGGGTGAGGCGCGTGTGGGCGGTCCACCTCGTCTGGGTGGCGGAAGGCCCGGCCCCGGGCTAGCGGATCCACAATCTGGAAGGGTCAGAGGGTGAGCAGAGCGGGCCTAGGGCCCCAGGGGAGCCGCCCGGCCACTTCTTATCCCCGAGGGAAGCCCACCTTGGGCATCCTGCAGGACTTGGGAGACTCGATGCCCTGGAAGGAGGGCACCTCCTGGCTGGGGAGCTCCAGGTCCTTCTGGCACGAGGCCTTGAGCCGGCCGTAGCGCACGCTGCAGTGGTGCAGGCTGCGACGCTGCCAGTGCTGCCGCTTGCCTTCCCATTCGCCGCTGACGCCAAACCACTGGGCTGTGCCCCTGCAGGGCAGAGCAGGTGGGTGGGCACGTGCTCCCAAGGGTGTGCATGTGTGCGTGGCAGGGCGGTGGGGGGGCGGCGCCTGGGTGGGCCCGCCATGAGCAGAGAGTGGGTACTTGTGCAGGAAGCTGTGGCTCACTAACGCCTGTCCACCTGCGGAATGGGGACCCAGGGTCCAGGCCCCGAGCGCGTCCAGCTGGCCGGGCGGGGGACGGGGCACTCACTTGCGGATACTCTGGGACAGAGAGGCCTGGCGGCGGAAGCCGGGGCGCTTCTCGCTGCCGTCCTGCCACCGTCCGTGCGGCTCCTGGAGGCTGACGCTCTTCAAGTAGGCTGGGTTCTTGGGCCTCTGTGGGGAGGCAGGGAGGACAGGCCGGGAGGTAATACGCAGCCCTGGCCCCGAGTGACCCCAGGTTGGAAAGCCCCAGGACGGAGCCCCTCTTCCCGGCTCTGTCCATCCATTCGCTCGTGGTGGATGGGTGGGTGGCAAGAGCGGTACACCAAGCCCGCCCTGTAGCCTGGAAAAAACCCTTCTAGCTGCTTCCAGCAAACCTTAGCATGCCCTCAGCATCCAGAACTTTCTATTATGCATGACCTTGTTGCCTGCTTTTCCTATGTTCTATGGAACTCTTGGCGGGGGGGAGGAGGCAGCAGGGGGCACCAGTACAGCTCCCCTTTTTGTCCCGGGCTACGTGGGACGCCCACGCTACTTGAGGCCTGCTCTCAATGAGCTCTTTATGGGGCGGGCGTCCAGATGGTTGTAAACATGAATTCATTCCCTCCCCCACGGCAGCCAGGCTGCAGCAGGGGCGCAGGGGGGCTGCGGGACCCTCTGTCCTGCTCAGCCCCTCCGAGAGCTGGGGCCCAGGCCTGCCCTTCTTTAGGACAGCACCCTGCCCCCCCCCACCCCGCTGTCCCCCAGGCCCTCAGCAATGGAGCTCTAAATTCAGGCCCTTGCTCCTCGCCATATCCTGGACCCAGGAAGGCAGGGAAGAGGGTGGAATGGAGGGGCCCTGGGGAAGCCCTCACCTCAGGCAGCATGCTGTCCCGCTCGCTGGGGGCCTGGGTCTCGGGGGGAGGGGGAGGGATTGTGATGGACAGGTTGGGTGGCTTCCGGCTCTGCAGACGGCTGCTGGACACAGAGGACAGGTTCCCGCCATTCTTGTCCGCCGAGGCCATGGTGGGCAGGAGGCTGGAATGGAGGAGACAAGGAAGGCGGCGGGAATGAGTAGAGAGGGGGGCGGGGCTCGAGGAGTGTGGGAACCCTGGCAGCAAGGCAGGCAGCCAACCAAGGCCAGAACCAACCTGCCCCACGTGGGTGCCAAGCCAGCTGAAGGGACTGAAACCTGGGCTGGGTGGAGTAGCTTGATGTCTATTTCTGACCTACATCTGCACTCCAGACCCACGGGGGGTCAGGAGCTCCCAGACTTTCTGTCTCTGCTTCAGACCAGAACCAAACCTTGGCCAGGCGCTGGTGGCTTCCCATCTGTCATCCTAGCTACTACTATGCTAGAGGCTGAGATCTGAGGATCACCGTTCAGAGTCAGCCTGGGCAGGACAGTCCGGGAGACTCTTTATCTCCAATAAACTACTCAGAAAAAGCTAGAAGTGACGCTGTGGCCCAAGTGGGAGAGAGAGAAAAGATAGCCCCTGCCTATCCTCTTCCTCACAGCTGCTTCCTCCGCTTCCTAAGTTCCCAGGGGCAGGCTTAGTTTTTCTTCCCCTTTCACAGGGCCAGGGAAAGCAAGCAGGCCTGGTGTCTGAAGTGGATGCTGAGCTGTGTGTGTGGTGGGGGAGGGGGAACCCTGGCTTAGGGGCTGTTTTATAATAGGGCAAGGTGTGGGGGGTAGAAGGATTCTTTTTGGCATGATGAGAACGTTCTAAGACTGACTGGTGATGTTTGTACAAAGAGCTCTGTGCGTGGGGTGCTGGGGGCTCATGCCTGTCATCCTAGCTACGCAGGAGGCTGAGTTCTAAGGATCACGGTTCAAAGCCGGCCTGGGCAGGAAAGTCCGTGAGACTCTTATCTCTAATGAACCACCAGAAAACTTGAAATGGCGTTGTGGCTCAAGTGGTAGAACACTCATCTTGAGCTGAAGAGCTGAGGGACAGCACCCAGAGTTCAAGACCCACAACCGACAAAAAAAAAAAAAAAAAAAAAAGAGCTCTCTGTGCATGGACTAAATCACTGAATAGCAAATTTGAAGTGGCTGGCGTGAACTAGGTCTCAACAAACCTATTAAAACCCCACAACCACAGCCGCAGGGGTGCAGCATGAACAAGGCCCTGGCTCCAGCCCCGGCCCCTCATAGGAGCCTCAAGTGCTCAGATACGCTGAGCCTCACCCCAAGCCTCACCCCTAATGGCCATGTGGCAGGGAGGGCAGCCCCTTCCCACCCTCCCACGGCCCTCCTCACCACCTGAGCAGCCCTGTCTCCCTTGTGGCCCCTGGCCACGGCCACAGCAGCCGTCTTTGTGGCTCTCCGAACTGACCTCCTTGAGTCACTATTCTTGTTTTATCTATCTTGATGCTTCCAGAAGAGTACGGGCTTCACAGGTGCCGACAATACTTATTTGTCAAAAAAACAAGCCGGATGCAGGTGGCTCACGCCTGTCATCCTAGCTACTCAGGAGGCTGAGAGCTGAGGATACAGTTCAAAGCCAGCCAGGACAGAAAAGTCCTGAGACTCTTATCTCCAAATAACCACCAAGTAAACTGTGCGTAAGTGGCACTATGGCTCAAGTGGTAGAGCCCTTGCCTTGAGCTGAAGAGGGCAGGGACAGCACCCAGGCCCAAAGTTCAAGCCCCAGGACTGGAAAACAAACAACTGTAAATAATCAAACAAACAAGCAAAGTGCCAGGTTTTGCTACCTCGAACTCAGGGCTCAGCGGCGGCTTCCTCGGCTTGCTGGGCAGTGTCTAGTGCATATTTGTCTCTTCACGCTGCCAAGGTCAAGGCTCTGTGCTGTGGACAGTGGACATTTGCTGGACAGATGGCTTCTAAGCACTGTCAGCCTGTGAGAGAGAAGACAGTCTAGAGAGTTGTGCAAAATACGGTACCAAATCCACCTTTCTCTGAGAAGGGGAGACTAAAGGAGACCCAGACTCCTACAGGGCCGGGCCGGGCACCTTGGTGGCCAGGGGCCTCAGCCTTCGCCTCCCCCGACCCCTCCCGTTCTGGGAAGGCAAACAGCAGAGTCAAGATGGTCCCTGCCTTTTTGTATCTCCATATGAGAAGTGCAGGAAGTGTGGTTGTGGCTTGCTTTCCACTCAGCCTGATGCCAGGCGGTGTCCACCCACCGGGCCGTTGTCTTCACCCCTGACTGAGTGGAAATCCACATAAGCTAAGGTCAGCCATTTTGAAGAGGACTCAGCAGCAGCACCCCTGAGTTTACAGAAAGTCCTCTGCAGAGCACAACGCCACCCCCTCCCCCAGGAATGGCCGCAGGGGCTGCTGGGAAGGGCCATAGTGCTGGGCCGAGTGAATGTCAGGGTGGAGGCCCTGCTGGACCCTTCTAGTTACCACCACTTCCATTTTGTGGGGGGAGGGGCTACCCAAGCTCACACAGCCAGGAAGGGGTGCGAGAAGCCTCCTTCCCTAAAGCCGGGGTACACCTGGGACTGGAAGAGCCCTCGGAGGGAGCTGGAGCAGCATCAAACACAAAGGGCAAGAAATGCGGCCCAGGCCCCTTCATGCTTTACATTCTGGATCAAAGCAGGGAGCTCCTAGCCGCTTGGGAGGCGGAGACCTGAGGATCAAGGTTCAAAGACAGCACAAGTAGGAAAGGTGAGACTCTTATCTCTAATAAACTACTCAGAAAAAAGCCAGCCGTGGGGCTGTGGCTCAAGTGGCAGAGTGTTAGCCTTGAGCAAAAGCAGCTCAGGGACAGTGCCCGGGCCCTGAGTTCAAGCCTCAGGACCAACCAAAGAAGAGCTGTTCATTTTGGAAGTCCCCCAATCCCAAGTCGGGAGTGCACGACAGGGAAAGGACTCCTAGGTGAGCAACTGAGGCACAGCTGCCCCTGGACACTTACACTTGTTTTTTTGGTTGGTGGTGGGGCTTGAACTCTGGGCCTGGGCACTGTCCCTCAGCTCTTCAGCTCGAGGCGAGCGCTCTACCACTTGAGCCACAGCACCACTTCCGGTTTTCTAGTGGTTCCTTGGAGATAAGAGTCTCATGGACTGCCTGGGCTGGCTTTGAACTGCGATCCTCACATCTCAGCCCCTGAGTAGCTAGGATTACAGGTGTGCGCCACGGGCATGTGGCTTTACACTTCTTTAAGGCAGGACAACCAACAGCCTTGGTCTTGGCTGCTTTATCCCAGGTTCTGGGACTCCTGACTCCAAACCCAGATCAGAGGCTGAGTTCTTTCCAGGTGGGGCCAGTTCCAAGGTAACAGCCCCCCCTGGGGCTGTCACATGGAGCTCCTCGGCTCTGGGACCCAGGCTCTCTGGGACAGCGAGAGGGCATCGGGCGGCCATCGCCCTGGGAAACTGGCACCAAGGGGGAGAGAAGGAGGCTGGGGTACAGGGGAGACCTGACTCCAGCTCAGCTATGGGTACAAGGCCAGGAGGATCCTTCTGGAATTCAGAGTGGACCCTATTTCTTCAGGATCAGTGCTACAGGCTGTTTGGTAACTTCCCAAGGTCCCGCCTCCTCCCTCTGACCCCTAGACCATGCTTCCCTCCTTCTGCCTAGCCAACCACCATTGCTCCTTACGGAATGTCACCTCCTCCTGGAAGCCTGCCTGGCCACTGCCAGAATCAACCACTTTCTTACCACGCGCTCACAGATTCCTATGGATCTGGGCGACCGGGTGACACACAGCCTTGCAGGCAGCTGGCCTATTAGCTGTTACTGGATGGACAGGACTCATGGGAAGGTGTGGGGTGCTCGGGGCCACAGGGACACCGGGCAGAAGCCATTCCCCCCAGGGAGCTGTCCTCTGTGGGGCTCCCTGGCTGGAAGAGCTGGATGCTGGAAGCCCAGGATGAGGTCCCAGGGGACCCTCCCCCCCGCGCCAGTTCATTGGCCAGCTAGCTTTCTTCATCCTGAGGCTAGGACACCCCAGCTGGGGTCTCCACTAAGGACCCTCTCGGTGCTGCTGGCATCAACACCAGTCTCCAGAGGGGAAGACCCAGAGGTAGGCTCTGATCAGCCCCAGGGCAACCCCGGGGACGGGGGGCGCGGACTGGTGAGGAACAAGGCCACTTCCACCACCTGCAGAGAGCATCATGAAAGCTGTTCCCCCATGCCTCAGTTTCCCTCTCTGGGCTGGGTTTTTCATGTGTTTTGTAGAACTGAAGTTTAAACTCAGAATCTTATGTTTGCTAAGCAGAGCTCTACCACTTGAGTCACGCCCCCCTCAGCTCTTTTTGCTTTCATTTTTCTCCCTCTGGCCAGCCCTCAGTTCTGTTTACGCTTCCTGCATAGCTGGGGTGACAGGGCAGGTGTATGTACCACCGTGGCCACTTTCTTACTGGCTGAGATGGGGTGGGGTGGTCTCACCAACTTTTTGCTCAAGCTGGCTTTGAACCATGATCCTCTTGATCTGTCTTTCCAGTAGCTAGGTTTACAGACTAAGCCACCCAACCGGCCTCCCTTTCTGTTCATCAGGGCTGTGGGGAGGGGGAAGGCCCTGACCTCCGGAGAGCCCAGACACTCCCTATGGTACCTCTGAAGACCATTAGAATGAGAGCCACAAGCCTGGCCTGTGCCGTGGGGTTAGAGTCTGGGCTCGGTGGGTTGGCAGGTGCCTGGGGCGGGGGCGGGCTGTCAGCCTCGCTCAGGGTTCCAAATGACTGGAGCAGAGGCCTGGCGGCCCTGCCCACCGCCAGCGTCTACCCCGCAATGCTTGTTCACTGCGGAGGAAATTGTGACATCCTGGGAGCTGGCTTCCTCCTGCCCACAGTTACATCCGCCATGTGCTCTGAGACCCTCAGGCCTGCCAGCCTTCTCAGCTGACCCACGGGGGTGGGGAGGAGGGTGGCCAGGCCCAGGCCAGAGCCAAGGCCACCTGTCCGAGCTGGACGCTGGCCTGGATCACAGGGAGGGGCTCTACCCGGGACAAGATCAGGGTGGGCTGAGAGTTTACTTTTTCTTCAGGGGAGTGGGTGTGGGTGAGGCAGACGCAGAAGGAAAGTCACATGCAGTGCTGCAATCTCAAGGTACCCCATCCTTACCACCTGGGCTCAGCACCCTCTCTGCAGACAGCACCACCCACCCAGGCAGCCAGGGGCGCAGACGCACAGAAATGCAGACTCAGAAACCCAGCCACTGCCCAGAGAATCCGGTTTCCCCACACAGGGCGGGGCCAGGCACTCCCAACCAAGCCACCGCGGGACGTGCCCCTCCCCCCAGCACTGCTAGAGGCCAGGCCGGGCAGGGTGCTGGATGGCAGGCATCCTCCTCCACTACGCAGGTGGCAGGAACCCAAACCCTGACACAGGGCCAGCTTCCTGTCCCCTCCCGGCCCGCCGCAGGTGCCAGCACACCTGTACCCGTGAGCCTGAGGACCTGCCCCCACCCCCCGCTGCCCACCACCAATGCGCCCCCACACAGGCAGGAATCTGGATGCTAATGGTGGATGCGTTCCCACACCCCTGCCTCCAGCAGCTGAGACAGGGGGCAGCGCGGTCCTGAGCAGGCAAGGGCCTGACACAAGGGCCAAGCCCAAGTGTGGGTGATAATGAGGACAGAAGGGAAGGAAGGGCCCTTGGACAAGGAGTCAACAGCTACCTCCCCCCCACACACAGAGGAAAGGGAGGGGGGGACCACTAGTCACCTGGATGGTAGGTGAGAAGTCACGTGCAGTTCTGGTGCAGTGGCCAAGCCTCCAGTAGGAGGCCCACTGTCCCTGTCCGTGGCCTGCTAGATCACGGGCTCGTGACACAGCCAGGGCTAGGGGTAAGGAAGTGGCTCTGTCCTTGCGTCCCAGTCAGAGAAACCAAAACTCTCCCCTTCCCCTGGCCCTGCTGGGAGCCAGGGAAGAACTTAGAAAGCAGCAAAGAGGAAGTGTGGGGGTGGGGTGTGTGTGGGGGGGTGTAACCTGCTGCAATTCCCAGGAAGACCCCCGTTCTGCTGGCCTCAGGGAGCTCTTCAGCCTTGATGGCCAGGAAGGAGAGTCCACAGGGGAGGAGACTCACCCCTACACACCCCCTGGCCCTGGCTAGGGGCAGTAAGGATGGAGCCCTGGGCAGGAGAGGAGAGCCGGGCAGCCCAGGGTCGCTGGAAAGGGCCAGGAGAGACAGAGAAGCACAAGACAAAGAAACAAGCCCTGACAGGTACTCTGGAGAGAAAAGCGAAGGTGATAAGTGGACTCAGAACTAGAGTCTTTAAGAGTCTCACGGAGTGGGATGCTGGCGGCTCATGCCTGTCATCCTAGCTACTCAGGAGGCTGAGATCTAAGGATCGCTGTTCAAAGCCAGCCCGGGCAGGAAAATCCGTGAGATTCTTATCTCCTATGAACCCCCCAGAAAACTGGAAGTGGTGCTGTGGCTCAAGTGGTAGAATGCTCGCCTTGAGCTAAAGAGCTCATTCAGGACAGTGCCCAGGTCCAGAGTTCAAGCCCCATGACCAATCAAAAGAAAAAAGAAAAATAAGAAAGTGTCATGGACTTTCCTGCCCCGGCTGGCTTTGAACCACAATCTTCAGATCTCGGCTTCCTGAGCAGCTAGGATTACAGGCCTGAGCCACTGGCACCCAGCCCGAGACTCAACTTCAATTAACTACCAAAAGCCAGAAAGGAAGCAGTGGCTCAAGTGGCAGAGCACTGGCCTTGAATTAAGATGCTCAGGGACAGCACCCAAGCCCAGGTGAAACCCAGGACCAAACAAAGGGAAACAAAACCAACTGGAGGGCTGCTGACTTTCTGGGGCTTTTCCCTGGCAGACCCCAGCTCTGGGCTCCCCTGACCCAGTTGGAGCATCTCGTCATCCCAGCCTGCCACAGACACAGGGTGTCTCTGAGCCACCCACCAGGGGAGGGGGCGCCTGGTCCTCAGAGAGGAGC